TCCAAATGAAAACTATGGGACGTATATTGCACACAGAATTCGTGTGACAACCTGGAGTTAGGTTTTCAGTTTTATATGAATGCCAATATGCGATCTTTGACATTTCAAATAGTTTATTTTAGGTTCCTTGTGTCATTATTGCACGACTGTGGCCGTTATAAAAATCAGGAGGGATTGCTAATGGCCATGTTACCCACTTGCTTTTCATTACTGTGTCACCTGCTGTCAGTATCCGACCCACGACAGGACACCGCAAATAATTAGACTCAGCCGACTCGTCTCTGCCCCGCCTGCATCAGCGACACAAGGCACAGAGAGAAGTCAGAAAAAAGTAGGACTAGCTGAGCGAAATATCATCTCCTCGGGAAGGACTCTTCTCTGTCGAGTTAATTCGCCAACAACACCCCCGCTTGAGAATTCAGCGGCTGTTACGCCAATGTTGCACTTAGAAGCATGTGTATTGAGGTAGATGCCACGTGAATCAGAGGCGACAAGAGCCATGATTTATTTTCCGCCTTTCGGTCGATGACAACTAATTTAAAAAGGCTGTTACCTTAATTGTTCTGTAATCTGTTTTAGTTATGACCTCATCCCGAAGCCTGTCCACATTTTTTAATCTACAAAACCGACACTTTTTGGCACGATATGGAATGTCGTATGTGATTAATTTAGAAATCGTATGTCCAAACGTTTTTCCCTGGATACGGCGGAACATTTGAACAAATTTCTCTATATGTGCGTATATAAGTATCAATACTGGTGCGACCCTCATTAAATTCAACATCAAAATACTTCGGTCTGATCTTACAGAAGTCAATGAAGGCATCAGGCTACAAACTGGATGACCTTGGTTAAGTTCCCAGCAGGGGGATTTTCTCTCTTTCTCCAGAGCAGACCACCTCTGAAGCCCATCGAGTCTCCTATCTGCCTTGTGAGAGTCAAAGCAACTGATACGTGAAGTTAACAGTTCACCTCAAAATTAATGTGATTGTTAGCACTGAAGTCTTTTATTCATGTGGTCCAGGACTTTTAAATCTTGTTCCGACGGCTGTACACGCTGACAGTGGTTCGTCGGCGTTTCCCTCTGCCCTCCGGGCAAATATTAGGTAGTATCTAAAAGAGCTCATGACCGATCCTTCCCACGTAATTTTTAATTCTTCATTCCCAGTCATCAACCATTTCGATGTTCTACAGCTTATGGTACTGACGGACGTCGTGAAATGCAGAACAAAAAATTATTAGTTGTTTGTTTTGCGCTAGTGTAAGATAAAAACAGAATTGTTACGATGAAAATCGGCAATTTCTCTGAACGACCGTTTACTACTTTATTCATATTCCGTGGTAAAATGGAGAATATTCTTCATCTCCCCGCCCCTAACACCTACAAATATAAACCCACTGCGCTGTATTGTACCCAGCAAACCTCCAACTTTTCAATAATTCAAATCTAATTCTACCTGCTCTACCCCAGCACATCTGCCACAACCTCACAAGTAATTTTCTTTCCCTTTTCCTTTCATTCATCTCCTCTTTGTGCATTTCTTATAGATTCATCCCACGGTCTGATTTCGCTGCATACCGAAAAGTAAAGACTCCTCACATCACGCTAGACCGGGGCCATATTTTGGAGTGGGTTAGGGTTCAATAGTCATCCTGAGGTGCGTGGGTTGACGTAAAGCCACAGAATCCCTGCTGTAAACGATCCTCTAAATTATGGCAACACGTGAGTCCCTCCCTTGACCGAATCAATCTCACGTTCAGGATTGAGGGGCATGACCAATCGCGGACAGCCGACAACAGGTGGTCCTCGTGTCTGGAGGTTGGCTGAGAAGCAAACAATTCCTCACAAAACAAACTAGCATGTTAAGAAATGTTACCTAAAAGGAAGGGACTACTTTGGAGATCTAAGAATAGATGGGTAAATATTTAACTACGCATTGAACAATTTGATGTGAATCTCAAATTTCGTCGGTTTGTCCCTGCTAATCATTATCCCATGTATAAACGCCCCACGACGTGAGGATAGCCCTAACCAAGCAGCACACTGCTATACTCTAGGCCCTACTACGTTAGAGGCTTCATCTCTGACCAGAATATTAGCTGGTCTCGAAGTAAAGGCCGATTTTTATACATAACCCAAACTGGAGTCCACGTCTTCAGTCTCGTTTGTGGAATGATCTGATATTTTGGGTTCCGTTAATACCCAGTGCTGGAGACTGGCGGCTCCAGTATTCTTCTCATCTTGCCCCTCCCCCCCTCTATCGCCGCTCTTTTCCTCAGTGTTCCTTGCATAATTCTTCAGCCCGACACTGTGCCCCAGAACATTTCAAATTAATGACAACATAACATTTTATCACTTTGTTTTTCCTGTTCTCTCATTTGCTTGGTACGCCACAAAACACAAACGCACTTCAACTGTCTCGAGCCTCGCCCTCGCTACAGGGTGATTATAAATTTAAGGACATGCCTAATATATAAAGAACATATACACAGTTTCATTATCCGTTCTTTCCGTCAAGTACATAAAAAGGATGAATGAAGAAGTTGAATAAGCCTAAGTATTTTGATCGAGTCCAGTGGAGAGCTCTTGTGTACATGTATTTTATTATTTATAGCTTATTTAACGACGCTTTACCAGTAGATAAGACTATAAGCGTGGAACGTACATGTAAAAAACCGAGCCAATTAAACGTTGTTTACCAAATTTATAACAACTGATAAAGCAAAATTCGTAAGAAATCTCCGCTATCTGCAATTAAGGGGTTACAAATTATTATCATCGATTGATATGACATTTTAATAAGAATCATAAAGAATTCCAAAAGACAGAATATAGGGTAACAAACTACATAAATATAATTTTACTGAAACTCAAACTACAAATACGTAACGACGCTCATATTTGTTGCAAGGTTGAGTGCTCCATCTCTTGTTGAATAGTTTATAGAGCTTAGCTTGTTCATTTAGAAGTTCACCAAATCACGTCACTGGACCCCGTCGTGAGCGAGCCGAAACCAGTCCACAGATAATACTTCTGTAACACACATTAAAATCATCCTCTCGTCTCTTAAACTTACTCAACAAATGATGTTCATGCAATTTTCATCTCCCTCAGTCATGTTTTATTCCCCGTCCACCTTATTCAAGCCGATTTCATCATTTTAAAAGCAACGTATTTGGTGAAGAGTCAACAGTTTTCAGTGGTAAATTAAGTTTTTCTTTAGTAGACTAAACATTATAGACCATGACGAGGAATCTTCTTTCATTCCACAGAAATCAGGATCTTTTGCGAGACCTTCTTTCTTAGACAACCTGTATTCACTGTGACGGACAGAGCAAGTGAACGTTCACAGCTGCGATTTCCCTAAGCAGTTATAACCATTCCTGAGCCTATGAATTGTTCATTCTGAAGCATTACGGCATCCCTCTGTCGGATGGCATGAAAATGTCATGCACATATTACGAGAAACATGTAAATTACACACGGCCAGACTCCCATTTGTCGCCGGGTTACTAACTGGCTTCGGACATTCTTTGCATGTTAAACTGTTATTATTCAGGACCTTCCCAGAGACCCTCCCCCCCACCAAACAGACACACACTTTCCCTCCCGTTAAACGAAACTGTGCTCGGTCCTACTAGCACTGTAATCTGAAAAGTAACACGGAAGTAAATAAAAACTTAAAAACGAAATGGAAATATAAGTGAAGGGAAATCAACAGCAGACTCACTTTTCAGAGAGAATTCAGATTTCAGGAGTTCGTATTACGTTTAACTGCTTAGCAGAATTTTGGGTTCTCACGGCGTTGAGCACGAAGATGGCTGTCTTCTGGGTTGTAGCGCCGTCTAGTCTGATAGAAGTTTACCGACGTTTCAGAGATCCCTGCTTCCTCTACCATCACGTCCGACTTCTACCAGACTGCACTGCGCTACAACCAGAGAGACAGCCATCTTCTACTTGAATACTTGGCCGCATTCACTTCTGTCAAGATTTAAACATAAAAATAACACCAAAATAAATTAATACCCCAGAAAGATTTTAACAAGCACGAAAAAGGTTCATTTGTCGTTCCCTTTCATACCTTCGCTTCCTCACTATTTATGATTATATTCCCATTTCACCAGAAAATATTGACTTAACCTCTGCCGTTCAGAGTCATTAAATAAACAATAATTAATCACCTAACGACAGTATTTACATAAAATTAAAAACAAATTCTAAGAAACGTCACAGACGACAAGGGGAGTGGGCGTTGAGGCGCGCACTATGACGGAAGGAGTCCAAGCTCCGTCTGTTTCCTACCTCGCACTTAGAAAGCTTCCGACCGTCCGCTCAGCCAAGAACACGCAGCCGATGCTGGTGTCTCGTGTTACCTCTGACAAAAGTGTCTGATCCTTGAGAAAGACGAAGCACTGGACTGGTTAATGCTCCGGTCAAGCTAATAGTGAGCCTCCAAACCACTAACAACGGGGGGGATATAAAAGAAGTGTTTATTACGTAACAGGAGAGCGGAATATTATTACTATTAATATACCCTAGCGCTGTGGTGTGATTTTTGAGGGAATTTCATAGTAATGCCTTTCTTCGCGACCTGACTTCTAGACCAGGATTCAAAACTGACTGTGACAGGAAGAAAAAATAAGGAACTATAAAAGACTGGAAGGAAATTCAGTCTTTTAAAGGTGAACACTGCACCATTTAGTTTAATGACTTAGCTGAAAAAGTTGATTAACAAAGACTTAATTTGTAAACAACAATAACTGCTGCTGTTATTCTCTAGCCTATCAAAGGGATGACTGTAGGTATCAACTTTTTTGAGGAACATCTCCTACTTCAGCCCTGAGAATGGCAAAGTGTTTCTTCGAAACGTCGGTACAAGTCCACGTCCTCGCGGTGTCATAACCATGAACGCGTAAGTCAATAACAGGAACTGAAATTTCTGTGACACTCGTTAAGAGGCGCTGCTGCTGTCTTAAGAAGGGCTTCCCTCTCGTTGCAGGGAAGAGCTTCACCCTCACGATCATCGTCAGTTCCTCGCCCCCGCAGATGGCGACGTACAGCAAGGCGATCAAAGTGACGGTGGACGGACCGCGGGAACCCCGCTCCAAGACACGTGAGTACCGATCGCAATCAGCTGATTTCACATTCTTCCATTTGCCTTTTGTTTCGATGTATCTGCTTCGGCTGTAGAAATTCAATTCACCGACTGACCTACCTCCGTTCATATAATTTGTGTAGGAAGTTCCATTTAAAATGCGACCATATCTACAATAATATCGATAAGCTTTGGTGACATTAATTTAACAAGAAAAATTAGCATTTTGAAGACATCATTTGCTGGAAAGAATTCGTAGAACATCATTACAGCAAAAGCTTAAGAAATCCATTACCCTCTCGACAAGAATCCATCTACTTTAAGGTCTTTCGTGTGACATTTTTTAAAGTACTTCTGGGCCAATGTTGGCAACAGTGCGCTCAATATTGTATTTCTGTTTCACCAAGCTCGTGGGTTGTTCGAATAAACACTTTTT